ATTACTCTCCATAGATTTTACCCCCTAAATCACGAATTTTAAAGAGTAAAAATAGAATTTTTTGGTAGTAACTTAAGATATGGATCTCGAAACAAATCACATATTTAGACTTTGTGATAAATGTGTAATCGATATTTAGTCTTGATTTCGGATATCGACCAAGTGGGCTCAGATTGACTTTTTTATGACTTTTCCAAATTTGTTAAAGATCGAGCCTTTTTAGTAATAGGAGAGTTCCTTAAGCTTGTTTTGACTTATTTGTATATTATTTAATTAAATTTGAGTTGTTTGGAGGCTTGTTCTAAAGAGAATCAGTCTTGAATTGTTGAGTTGTTCTGGAAAGAGGTAAGTATTGTGATTAATCTTAGTTTAAGGGAATTAGGTTGTAGATGTCTTACTTGCTATGTGCTAAATATGTTGGGGACAGCGTATATGCATGGTGACGAGTGTATATGTGTTTGTCGTAGGTTAAAGCGTGCAGGTAGAAGTGATTTTATTCATGTCCTTGTTTAATTGTTGTGTTATTCTCTTACGCTATGTTGGAACATGAGACTCCTTGATTATTTACATGTTATTCCATGTTTGGGACCATTGGGATATATGAGCGATTGGCTCTTGAAATGTTGAATTGTCTATCAACTTTATCCTTTCCTTGGTATATTATGCTTAATCCCCCTCCCCCCCCAACCGGGTATAATGTCATGCTCCTTGTCATGTTTGTAATTACTTGTTGGGTACTTTTATGTGAATTTGTATTGAGATTTGGCCGGGTTGCATGCTGCAACGGTATTGAGGTTTAGATTGAGTTGCACGCCGCGACAGATATGATGTCTTGAGCTTATTCTTGTTGTTGTTGTAGTTTCTCCTCTGCGGTGTTTATTGTTATTCCCGTGAACCTTGTTAATTATTTCTTATTTGATCTTATACTTTTATTCTTCTCTCTATTGCTATTGCTTTCTACCTATTAGTTGCGCAGGTTTATATGGTAAATATCTTATCATAACTTCGTTACTTGCTCGTCGGGGTTAGTCTTGATACTTACTGAGTACATTGGGTGAGTTGTACTCATATTACTCTTCTACACTTATTGTGCAAATTCAGGTGTTGGATGTAGCGGAGTCCCGAGGGGTGATTAGTTTGGATACCTAGAAGACTCAAAGTAGTGTTGCATACCCATTCACAAACTCTGGAGTCACCTTCCTTATCTTTTATTATTGTTTATTGTATTAGATAGTATTGTACTTCCCTTCAGACTTTGTATTTAATACTCTTGGAACCCATGTACTCAGTGACACTAGTCTTGGGAGGTGTTTATGACAGTTATTTTGGGTTTTAAAATCGTTATGTAGTACGGAGCTTTTACTCGTATTTATGATATTGCGTAGTTATATGTTTAGTTTTGCTTCTTTTATTATTGTCAAGTGTTAGCTTGCCTAGCAAGCGGTATTCAGAGCCATCACGACCCCTTGATTGGGATTTTGGATCGTCACAGTATCCCTCAATTGTTCACAATGCAATTAGCCCATACCCAATTTGTCATTTCTCGAGTAATAGTAAAAATAGAAGGCGCAACCTTAGTAATCTTATGTACTAATCTATATCTGCACGCTGCTGTTGATGAGACAATGCTTCTACACTTCTGAGGTCCGTTTAAGGGAATTCAACAAGAAAATGGATGTTGTCTTGCGATCAAATACATGAGTTTTTTAAAATGACAAAAGTAATGGCACTTTTTTATAAAAGAAAAGCCAAATCTGCAGTCGTCAAGATTTAATTGAATGGATTTTTTATTTTGTGTTGTTCAAGCTTTCCCTGTCCTGTAGTGAAAAATGTTCTCAAGTTTCAGCAAATATGAAACTTTTCAATTCAAATGAAAAATCCTGTAATTTTCTCAATCAGCTTCTATTTATATGCACAATGTTAAATACTACTGTATATGTTTTTGTATTGGTGTGTGAAAAACAACAACAAAAAACCTAGTGTAATCTCACAAAATAGCGTTTGGAAAGAATAATGTGTACATAGATCTTACCCCTACCTTTAAAAGTAGAAAAACTGTTTCCGATAATTTTTCGATAGACCCCTGGCAGTGCGTGAAAAATGAACCAATAAAAGCGGGTAAAAGTGTCATCACAGTATGGCAACACGGTTTCACAATGTTTGGTGTTATGAAAACAACACACTGCTAACGAATACCAACACAACTACACATTAACAGCAACACGAGAATAACAAATCTGAGCATTCATAGAGAGAGAAAAGCTAACCACTTAGAAACAACGAAAAAGGGTCAAAACTATCCCTGAACTATCAGAATTGGTACAAAATTACCCTCCGTTCACTTATTGAGCCAAAATTATCCCTACCGTTAAATTTTTGGCTCAAACCTACCCTTAATACTAACAGCTCAAAACTTATAAAAAAATATTATAAATTTTAATAACGTGTCTCATTCTTATTGGACGAAATTAAACTCCACTCCACATCTATCAAACCCACTCGTAGGGGTGTACAAAGGTCGGGTTAGTTTAGATTTTTCAGTTTCCCAACCAAACCAATGGTGTCGGATTTTTAAATCTATAAACCAAACCAAACCAACAAAGTCGGATTTTTTAATCTCGGATTTTTCGGTTTTTTCGGGTATTTAAATTTTTTTCCAGTAAAGTCTTTATAGCATAAAATATGTAACTTGCGCTCCAAATATTTCTTTAGTCCTATTAAGATACTACTATATATAGTATTTTTCAAAAAAATAACACAATAATATGAGATAAGTCATAACATTATACTAAAATATTCAATAACAAAGATAATAAAATTGCATAAAGCAAATATTGTTAATTAATAAGCCATAATAAAAATTAATATAATCTAAATATATTATATATGTCATGCTAAAATAAGTATAGCTAATAAGTACTATTAATTACATAGCTAAGCACTAAAGAAAAAATAAACTAAGTTATGCATTTTCATTATAAACCAATGTAAACTAAAAAATAGATATCCAACACTATCATCATTTCTAGTGTTGAATTGAGTTTCTTGTGTTAGCATTAGTATTGATTTGAACTTTGTTTGAGTTACTACATTTATGGGCTATAAAATTTGTTATCATTCAAGAATGTTAAGTCCAAACTTGAAATAATACGTTAAAAGATGAAATTGTGAAAAAGTTTAAGAAATATATATAAATTACATTACAATAATATTTATATGTACAAAATATTTTTAAAACTTGTATAAATGTACTATCGGGTTGGTTTGGTTTCGATTTGACTTTTTTTAGTTACAGTCAAACCTCTCTATAACAGCCTCGTTTGTTCCGAACATTTTTGGATGTTATAGCGAAGTGTTGTTATAGAGAACATATATTATAACATAACATGAAAATTGATTCCGGAAATTCTTGACTTTTATAATGAAGTGTTGTTATATAGGGATACTTTTATAGAGATGTCTGACTGTAAAACCAAACCAAACCAAACCAATCATGGTCGGGTTTTCTTTTCCAATACCTAACCAAGTCAAACCAAACCACAATCAGATTTTTTTTTTCGATTTGACTCGGATTATCAATTTGATGCGATTTATCAGTTTTTTTTCTCACACCTCTGCCCACCCGTATAACCTGACCTATCAACCCAACCCAAAAAAAGAACTTGCCCTCTCTTCTTAAAATACGACGTAACTATTTGATCTTCTTCCTTTATTAATTAGGGTTCTCTCTCCCAACTCGGAAAATTATAGTTCTTAGATTTCCTCTATCTACTTTTAGATTCAAATGTCTGAATCGTCTTCTGCTTCTTTTATCTCTCGCAAACAGATATATAGGAAGCTCAGATTAGCCTTTTCTTGGTCATAAGCTTAAGAAGCCTTTGTGAGACATAGAAACCTAAATAGCTCCCATATCTCATTAGACCGTCGTAAGCTGCCAAGCCAAGATATAGCAAAGCTCAACCATCTGATGAGTAAGAATGAATATCTTCACCGCCTCATTGAACTTATTTGCTAAAGAGTGACAATTAAGCCAGTAAGCTCAACATCTCTTTTGTGTCGTGCCAGGGAATTAAGGTTTAATTAAGACACTGAATATAGTAACCTATTTGAGTTTGCAACAATTATACTCTGTTTGAGTACCTAACAAAAGTTATTTAAACTAGATGCATTTCCTACGTTTTCAACAAAGTAACAAATAAGCAAAGTAGTAAAATATCGTGAAATTGAAGGTTGACGCAGCAGATTTCAAACAAATAGACATGAATCTAAAACCAATTCGTAAAGACAGAACCGACAATTAGCTACACCAGTTTTGGGTCGGATTGATCCAATGGGTCAGAGGTTATACGGGTGGGTTTAATAGATTTCGAGTGGGGTTTAAATTCGTCCAATAAGAATGAGACACGTCATTAAAATTTATAATATTTTTAATTAGTTTGGCCTGCTAGTTTTAGTTTTAAGGGTAGGTTTGAGCTAAAAATTTAACAGTAGGGACAATTTTGGCTCAATAGGAGGGCAAATTTGCCAATTCTGATAGTTCAGGGGTAGTTTTGGCCCTTTTCCGTAATACAATTAAGGTAGAAATTCCCTGAGATAACAATTAAAATAGAAATTCACTACGATAACATTAAATATATGACCTTTGAACGACTATTCACTACCAGAAATTCACCAAGATAACAATTAAAGATATGACCAAATAAATATTCACAACCAAAAATACACCAAGATAACCGTTAAAGAAATGACTTTGAACGGGCATTCACTATTAGAAACTAATTGTAATCTATTCTGCACAGTAGCGCATTTCTATCTCTCCGTTTGCTACATAAGATACAGCAAGTACAGATGCAAATGTAAAATCTGCAGAAGCTCTATTGCATCAGTACCATGAAGCCCCCGGATTTTCTCGAGTGGGGAACAACACCGTTGAATAGTTTCTGAATATATTGCAAGTAGAGAAGACATAACTGATTCAAGCAAAAGGCGCAAAATAGGAATAGGGCAAGAATCCCAATAAGAAATACTCTTTGAAGAGGGAGTTTATATATCTCAAGCGTGTACAAATTTCGAATGGCATCTAATTTTAGGACTCAGCTTCTAGATAAAATTCTATTCCTTCTTACTGCTACCATAACAGCCGTTGTCAAACCCTCTCATTCTCATTGAAGCACATGAATATACCAAGCACTTCCATTGAGCATCAAAATGGACGTATCAAGTTCCTGAAAACTAGAAAACCAACCTGGGGGAGGGGGTGCGGTGCGATATGTTCCTCGGACAATCCACTGGAGACCCTTTCTTCATCTCAAATCATAGGGAGAAAGAAAAAGAAGAAACACTATTGTCTGTACAAGAGCTTAGACTACAGTTGCAGAACTGCCAAAAAATAGAGATTCTTGGTGTGGAAGTAACTTCCTGTAGTACTGCTTTGAACAAACAAACAAAAAAAACTACTATGAAGCAATTATCCAACATGTTCCTTCACAAAATATACAAAACTCATGCATAAGAAAGGTTGAGTAGAATTATACCAAGACCGGTCGGGGCAAATATCTTGAAAATTTTCTGAACTGATATTTAAGGATCACTTCATGTAGGCCCACTTGACACTTCGCATAGATTGGCTTGGGATCCACTAGAAATGCCTGTTGATGAAGACCATTGATCTGGCACCATCAGAAAGTATGTCGACATTGCTTTCCTGAATCTCGTTTTGTATTGCTTTGGAGAAATCACTGTTGGGGATGAATTCTTTGGCCCACCTAGAATGCCTGAAGCCTTTACCCACGTCTCAAGATGTTTGTCCCATGTATACTGTCTCATGAAATCAATAATACCGAGCACCAGTTCATGCTTTTCCTCATCCACTCCGACTAGTAATGAGTAATCCATCACATCTATTGACTGCAAAATGGTAACTGTATCAAAATAGCAGACCAGGGACTGGAAAACGCTCTGCATTTAATAATTGTGTTTGAAGAGCATGAAGTCGCACTTTGGAGACTTCAACATATACTTGATGCTGGCTGGCATTGACTAACAAAGAAACGCTTGGAGAACGTACTAAAATAAATAAGAGAACTACTGCAGCGACAAAGTCAAGTGCATCTTGCAAAAGAAGGGAGAAACAATAAGAAAGCAACGCAAAGATAAAGGGTATGGTGAAGAGAGAGAACAGGGAGGCGTCCTAGCAATCATCTTATTTGATCTTTACTGGAGTAGAAATGATAAACTAGTAACGCCAGACAGAATTAAGAAATGCAGAACGATGTATAGAACACAATGCAACAAAGTAACTAGTCATGATAGGATTCTGTTTCAAAGCTTACCGCTAGAAATGAAGTATCATTCCACACAGCTCTCTGCAGCAGCCGCTTAGCCTTCGTTCCCACAAAAATCGGAGAAGTTGGCATTGCTTCAATTAAGTTCTGATCAAGTAAAACTTTGTTACTTCCACTTGAATCTGGATTATAGCGTGATCGAGAAGACCCTTTGAGGTCATACAGTTTAGTGATGTTGCGCTTAAAAAGAAGATTTTCCATAACAAGCACATCCATTCTTGATTCTTTCCCCCCTTTGAGATGCTTTGATGCAACCTAAAAATAATAATTGAAAAACGAAGTGAGCATCATGGGAAAAAGTATTAAGGGGGAAAAATGAACACGTATAACTACCGAAATGCTGTTAAAGATTGGAGAAGAAAATAAATTTCAGAGAATCTTTTAAGGGAAGACCAAAGTACAGAAGTTACATCTGTCCCGGTGAACCAATTTAAATGACCTTTATGGGAACCTTTTAATTTCTTTTACGGTACAGCGAGGAGCACCTCTAAAGCACAAGACTGACTATGTTGGAGAAGTTAGCTCTATCAAGAAATTAGGTCCACATAAATTTAACATGAGAGGCTTAACAAAGATAATTTTACAAATTCTTCAAATATTTTGACAATAAATGTTTGCTTCAGGGAGGTCAAATGGAGATATAGTGACCCACAGATACAACCTTAGTTACAAACCTAGACTGATTCATCGAAATAAAAGTTGCTCCACAGCACACAGATATCAGAAAGCTGAAATACCGACTATAGCAGTGACTTTGGTTAAATAGAAATAATATACAGAAAATGATACCTGGTAGATCCCCAAAATCTTTGCCAAGCAAGTTGGGCTCCCACTAGCTATTGATTCAGATAAATACTTAAAGTAAGCTGGTGCAAACTTGATAAATGACTCCAACTCTGTCTTTGTTACCTGCTTGATGATAAATCGGTCGTCCAAGGTTTTGGCAAAGAAAACATTGCTCTTGCCACCCTGTGCACCCCATTTTTTACATCGGCAAAGGGACCGTATGAAGTCTAATTCATAGGGGCAACAAGACTTTCTTAAGGTCTCAAAATGCTTTGCATAATAACAGGTGACTGTGTACTTAACCTTTCCCAGAGGTCCATCATCTGAGAAAGATATTCGGGCATGCAAAGCATTAATATATGCAGGTGGATCCATGTTTGAGTTGCGAGAACTAAAACTCGATGACATGCTTTCATCTGTAAATCCGAAACTTCTTGGAGAGTTCGAAACTACTTCATCCACAGACGAATGTGAAAGTAAATTTAATGAATCCAGAAACGGCAGAGAAGCTGAAGATTTGTGATTTTCTTTCAGATTTTGAGGTTCATCTGACATTTGATTGTGGTAATCTGGTGACACAAGTGCATATGAGATAATACTTGTTGGCTCATCATCATAAACTGGAACAACAATGTCATTAACACCAACAGCCATCAGCAGCCTGGCACCACCTTGATGTAGCAATTCGCTAAACGACGAGATATAAACAGGATTATGCTCGTCCAATTTACCAATAAATTGTGGATTTGATGTGATATTCTTGTTGAAGTATCGATAGAAATTTGAAAAATGTGCCGTTGACCAGGTCAAGTAGTCCGCATTGTCAGACTTTGCAGATAAATGAGGTGTTACAGCCCCACTTTTGCCACACATAGACCTTTCGACATCTGAGTTTGCTGTAACTCCAGTCAAAGCAGAAGAATCTACAAGGAAAGAATCTGGAAATGCACTGTTATGCTCCTTAATAGCCAGGTGGCCTTCACCAGTCCATGCAGCATCAAGAGTGTCAGATAAACTTTCCACAGAAGGGAACTTTCCATCTGAAAGTACACGTGTGACATTTTTTCCAGGTTCCAGTACATTTCCATCTCCTGTAGCCTGAGTGTCTTTCCCATGGGTTAAGTTCTCATCAATATTCAATCGTTCATGAACCCCATCAGGAATCTGATTGTGCCTTCCTTCATTTGATGTTATTTCAGTCTTCCCATACTGAAGAACTGAATCATAGCTACCTAAGCTTTTGCCAGGTCTCGGAATTGCATTCCTTTCAGAAAGTTCCTCGCTAGAGCTGAAGCACTTCTCCTTCAGTTGTGGTGTCAAACTGCCCTGAGTTTGGGAATTTTTACCATGAGAACTGGAAAGATGTATCAAGCGTCTGTCCCATAGATAAGCATGAAAAACCAACTGCCTTCTCAGTCGATTTATCTCAAGGATGTCAACTGCAGGCTGACCAACTTTGACTTCCCCACTAAGTGCCTTGCATAATAATCCCTAGAACAACGTGGACACCAGTAAGAAACAAGTCAAAGTCATTTGAAGCAACGTATGGAAAGTGTAAACAGAAGAAATAAAAGACCTGCCCTTTCTGTTCAGAAGGGAAGGATTCTCGAGGTCTGATGCCTTAATGACAAATACCATCAGTCACACTTTCAATTAGACGAAAGAGTTCTATTTCGAGTGATGGTGCCCTTTACACTAAAGCTTCCAAATCAGTAAATCTACTGAGCGAATTAACAGCAGTGATTGAAATGCAGCCCTGAGGAACAGTCCACCAGTTGAAGGAGTTCCTAATTGCCTCGGCGGAGGGGGTAAGTTCAAGGACCTAGCCCTAAGAGTTGTATGGTGTATGGTCTCAATGGCTCAAGAGGAAGAGGTGTGAGGCAAAGCGTGAGGAAACCTATCAAAGGAAGGGTTCTATATCACACATATTGGAAGGTTTTCTCCCAACTTCTGGGTTGACCGCCTAGTCAAAGGATTAAGCATATGGATAATGGAGTTACCAAAGTCGATCTCTCAGTTAGTACGGAAAGCTCCTTTCAGTACTTACTAGGGACACATGTTCATCTTGAGATTGATGTCTCTCTTCAATCAATACACCTTGTTTCCCTCTCTGTCTCATATGGTCTGTTACGCGGCGCCTTCCCGAAGTTCCTTGGAAGGGCGACGTAAGGCTAGGCAACCGATGTCAGTACGGTTGCTGTCCGCCAACTGAGGTCCCCTCCGTACGCTAGACTAGATTGTCAGTGCCGTACGGGAAAACCAATGTCATGAGCAATTGAAAGAGAGCAGAAAAGAGAATTGAGAATNCGCGATGTTATTATTTTTTGTGCAACTTATCCAGTTGCCAAGTTTTCTGGGAGCATCGTGTTGCTGTAATGTTCTCTCTTAGTATGATGTAATTCAATCAAGGGCAAGAAGAAATAGCATCACATGCTCAGTCAGAGAGCAACACAAGAAGTCCCCAGTGTGAATTCTACGTCACAAAAACATTGGGGAACGACCAAAAATGATTCAGTAAAACCAACCATAAAGCCGTCAGGATAGCTGATGCATGCTGATGAGCTACATCATCAGAGTATTCATGCAAACCACTAAAAGCTAAGGACCCATGCAATATTAAGGACCTCTCAGACCAAGAAATAGTAAACAAAATGATTACACCTCATCGTAGAAGGAAGTTTGACATCAGTAGCTTTAGCAGCAGGGCTATAGTAGTCAATTCAAGTCAACAAACTCTCACATAAAGTGGGGTTAGGCACTGAATTTAACAATGTATAAGGTAATAGTCCCACTACTTTATGTGAGACTGTTTATTTGAAAAAAGTACTTGATTACAGATACCAACTTTAACCATATTGAGGAAATGCATCCCAGGTGACTTCATGATAATTTTTCTGATGCTTCAGTTTTCTGTCTCTGGATACTTTACAGTTTACATGATATTCAGTAGTTGATTAAAGAAAATTAAAGTTAGGTGAAGGCATTATAATCCCAGTGTGAAAAGTTAATGCATAAAAATGCCATATAGGAAACAGCATACCCATAGAACCGGAGACATTCTCGGTGAAGAAGATGACCACAACTTGCGACCCTGCTCGCTGCTGCATGATTTGAAAAACTGAGTTCCAAAAATTTCCCAAATGACAATCCCCAAGCAGCATCAGACATCAATACCCTCCTGGTTGGAGGAGGGAAACCATTGGTCCGAGGACATCGCAGACACCTGTGCCACATCCATATCTTTCCTTCCCGTTCTCCTGGCAAGATACGTTCAGGTAGGTTCTTTACAGAAATTGTGAGGCTGCCTTGCCGATGAGTATAGCAATGAACATGTGCCTCTGGCGGCATTTCACATGAGGGACACCTATAATTCTGGTAAATGTATAACATATATCAGAAAAAAGTACCAGAATAAACCACGCATGCAAAGAATGTATCGAGTGTAACTTTAAATGAGGAAGAGAGATATTACCTGAGCAAACAGCTGGTCCCGTAAAAAACGGCCCAAAGGCATATCAGAGAGTCCATAGTATTTTATTCGAGAAATATGAGCGCGCTCGCAAACAGTTCCTTTCCAAACACAGCGTGTTGAATGGGACACTAAAATACTCTGCTGATCGGAAGATGAGGAAGGAAACTCTTGCTTCGATGAGCCTAATTCCTCAAAGTAACTATTATCAAATTCCGGTAGCACCAATTCTGAAGTGTGAGTAGTGCGTAAAATTTCCACAACATGAGAAAGGCTACCAGCATCTCTCAAAGCATTGCTAGGAAAATTCGGTATATAATCATTTCCTGCAACTTCACCTCTGTCCAGTGGAGATTCTTCATGAGGGTCATTTGGAGCCATTTTATTCCTCTCGTCAGCTTGATCTGAGAACTGAAGCCTTGAATGATGTGAGGAATTAAGACAATCAGAAAGGTCTACCTTATTTGAGGCCGTTGTAGCACTAGCTAATGAGTTAGAACCTTCAGGGAAACTTGACTGTTCAACAAGCAGTGGAGCATTGTTGGATGATGATGTGATACCAGACAACATGTTGGTTGAGGAATGAGATGACATGCCAAGGCAATGGTGATCGAGCGGTCTCTGGGCTATGGGTAGAGAGAAACCAGGAATCATAGAAATGGATCTTTGAATAGTTGATGGTTTATCAGGCAATGCAACTTTAATTGGGGACTTCAAAGGGAGCTCTGGCAAGGAAGCACCTTCATCAGCAAGAAAAGACGTCTCCAGAGCCAGGTGATAAGCAGCAAAAACTCCATACTGGATAACACGTTTTATCTTCTTCAAATCATCCCCGTTGGCGCCCTTGAGCAAAATCTGAGACCCACCACCAACAAAAAGAGGAGATCAGCTTTCCGCACTTCTGACACTTGCACCAGGAAACTGTTAAATTACAGAATGATAGGTAAAACATTTCCTTTTTTTTTAAAATGTTGGTAGCGTCGGGACAGTTTGCGCTACCTCCCACCAGCATAGGAGCAACATTCACATTTTCTAAGATCATGCATAAACAGTACCTATAAGCTATAGCGGACATGTCTAAAGCCGAAGTTGAATAATTTTGAGCATAATAATTTACATACTGCTTGATGAACAAATCATATTCATAGCAAGTTTATTTAAACATTGAGACAAGACGTCAACTTTAATACCATATCGTACCAATGAGTATGTTATACCAAAGGATTATTCTTTCTTCCTTATCAGAATTTTCAACTAAGAATAGTTTTGGTTATTAGTTGTTAAAGCTACAAAGAAGAAATATAACCATGTCGACCATAAAGAAATTGGGTGTAAACTAAACTTGTAGAATGTAGTATGCCACACAATTCAGATTTATTTCATGCTCCAGCTATCATACAACTGAACAAGCCATTAAACATGTGACTTACCGTACAACCAAATGGCTTTGGGCATCCCTCGAAAAACATCAAGGTCTTTGTCAATTTTTTTCCAGCTTGCCCAGCACTACCATGCTCTTCTACGAACTTATCAACATGGAACGAATCACAGTACCCTAACTTCGGCGTTGTAAGATTATCAATTGAAGGGACTACTTGTGCACCTGTACAACGGGCAATACGCTCTAAAAGTGACCGCTTCACATTGAGAACCAGAGATATGTCTTTCGCAAGCAGGTATTCCTGCGCAAATCGAGATACAGACTTCTCTACTAACAGAATGCTTGGATGATGAGCATCAATCTTTGCAACAGCCATCTTTAGATGGTCCATTTCCTAGAAGAAAGAATGATCCAAGTAAAAGTTATGAACCAAACAATGTGAATCCAAGTAAAAGTAATGAACCAAATAATGCAATTGGGCCTCCCTAATATGCCTTTCTCAATACCATGGATAACAAGAAGTTAGAGTATTCCAGCTTACGAGAAACCAAAGAAACACCTCCAATGAGCGTAAAGGGCACCGTAGCGGCGTAGCCCCTAATTATCATTTCAGTTACTCCCTTGAAAAAATATTTTCTCCCTATGGTCTCTATTGTATTACACTGGGTATGTTGTTGTTGTTGTTGGCATCTATTGTATTATCCAGTGAATACTAAGAAAGTACATTGTAAAAGTCATCACAAGAACCAGTCTACTATTTTGACGAAAAGGAAAACAAAACCAGAATAAACTGATACAGAATCAAACAGAACTTGAATATAACAGAATTTATAGAAAATCGTGAAGTACAATACTGAAACACTTGCACATAGAAGAGACCTCCGTGAGCCTACCCCCTCAACCATCATAGACTCACTAACCAGCTTCCCCTGTTACATCCTCTCGTTTCCTCGTCCTTCTCATTCCCCAACTTCCCCATACTTATTACCTCCCCAGTCTGCAGTCAGTCCAAGATCTTCCATCAGCACAGACCATAGTTTTCTATGTTACAACAGATACAATTGCAACTTCTTGTCAAAAATAGAATAAACTGATTGACAATACACATTGGCCTAGAAGATACAAATTTAGGTCTAATACTCCGTTTAACTCGTAAATGAGGGGGAGACTTTGTGAGTTTCTTCCACCAAGGGATGTATCTTATAGTCCCTTTCGGTTTTTCAGTACTAGCTGGAAAGGAACTAGTATACATTTGCTTCTTCCTTTTTGTCCGATTCTGGAAGGATCAAAAGATTGATGAAGAAAGGAAGTATAACCCTCCACTTTTACCTTCACTTATCTTTTACTTGCTAATCAAACAAGGGAAAATACCTCTAACCTTTCCACTCTTTCTCCCCCCTCAAGAAACTCTTCCTCCTTCCAGCCCAACCAAAAAAATGACTAACCAAATCTAAAAATTTCCCAAATTTAAAGTACTACCCAGCAAATAAATGTACAGGAAATGGTAAATTTTGACAGCACTTACGTGTTGCTGAAATCATTATACTTCCTTGAACAATCAAAAATAAATGTACAGGAAATGGATCCTAGAAACTCAAAAATCTCTCCAAAGCAATAGCAATGATATTGTACATATTAGATTGCCCCAGCTTGTAGTTCACTTCAGAATCTTAAAGGAAACAATTACATATCATGGACCAGCCATTATTTTATCCATGTATTTCAGTCGTTAATTTTGTTTTCATGGTCAGTATATGATATAAAACCAATTCAAACCTTTTCTATGAGGCAAAGGCTTCTACAGTTTTGTTAAGTAGATAGAACTATTAGTTTGAGTTGATGTGCAAGGAAAAAGAACAAGAGAGATGGTGCATTTTGCACAAAAACTTAATCTATATACGAACTTGAAAAATGTCTAGAGAAGGACAAAGAGTGATAAGGAGGTATAGCTAAGAGATAAAACGACAACCAGGTGCTGAACACGAAAAAGATCCTGCAGTCTGGGGGCAGAATTGCATTTCCTTGTCCTATCAAGTAACTAAAAATTATCAATAAAGAATTGGATTGAGTGAAAACCTGCTGCAATAAAGTGTCAAAACTTGACAAATGGTTAGCCACCCGTTGATATTCCAGTGCTCCTCCAAGAATTAGGAGTCTAGGCTTATCTATTTTTGAGGTCATTCGCCGGTGCGCCACATTTTTCTTACAAACAATGCCTTTAACCGCCATACTAATAAATAGCATAAAGGAGAATTTTATCAGCAGAAGGAAAATAAACTTCAGAAAACTTTCATAGTATGAGCAATAATTTAATGGAAAAATAAAGCACAATGATGCCAGAAACCAAGTGAAAGAATCATTCAATAGGATTGCTCCTGCTGGAAAAATTAACATTTAGCACCAATTTAAACACATCACATAGAATCTGTGCAAGCAAAAAAACAAGCAACTCGAAAATCTGATTCCTACATCATGGAGCCTGCAGTTATTTGGTTGATGTTAGAATAGTTATATGAATGTATGTAATTAGTCCTAGTCCCCTATGTAATAGGAGTAGGTTATGTGTTATGTACACATATAAATAGGGCTTATTGTAACATAGAATATTAATCAATAATATTTTTTCCCGTGCTTCTCACATGGTATTAGAGCAACTAGTGAGAAATCCCCGTTGTGCAGTTACCAGCGAGTCCGGGACAGTCACTGTGCCTTTTTCCGGTGACTTTCAGGCTGGTTTTTTACTAAATCCCTTCTCCGGTGGGTTTTTTACGAAAAATAACACCACCAGCAGGTGCGGATTTCTCAGGCGACCAAACCCCAGAAAACCACCCCGGCAGAACCCCATCCACGCGCTCTCACGCGCCTCCAGAGCTTCTGACGCCGGCGGCGCGTCAGACCCACGAGCCGGCGCGTGAACAGTTTTCCGGCCATCTTTTTCGAAAATTTCTTCAGGACAGTCTAATCTTCTAGTAATTCCGACCAGGCCCATACTGTTTTCTTTTTATTCCGAGCACTTTGATATTTTTCCGGCGTGAACAATGAGTTTTTCCGGCGAGAACAGTGATTTCCAGAAAATTTGTGTTTTTTCGGCCCAATATTATAATGGCGTTCGTATAAGAAGTCTTTACCTCACAATCCGTTGGATCCAATTCATTGAATCCAATCCAGATGGTTTCTTTACCGGATTATATTGAGTTCCTTCAGTACAAAGCACGTAAACAGACATCTTCAGGATTAGCCTCCGTTGTTCCAACAGATAGTAGCATGACTTGTGCCTCCCAATCTTCAACTTCTGAGTCTTGGGTCATTGATTCAGGTGCATCTGATCATATTTCTGGTAACAAATCTCTTTTCACCAATATTTCATATTCTCAATCTCTTCCAATAGTCACAATGACCAATGGGTTTCAAACCATGGCAACTGCAATAGGTCAAGCAAGTCCACTTCTTTCCTTACCTTTAGACTCAGTTCTTTATGTTCCCGGTAGTCCTTTTAATCTAATAGTCGTTAGTCGCTTAGCCAAATCACTTAAATATGTTGTTTTATTTCTTGATGACCTTGTTTTTATACCGGAACGCAGTACAGGGCGGATCATTGGTACCAGACGTGAATCGGATGGACTTTATTACCTTATCCTTGTCTTCCTTCAATAACTTGTCTCGTTACTGATTCACCAAATTTATTACATAAACAGTTGGGACATCCTAGTTTGTCAAAACTTCAGAAAATGGTACCTGGCTTATCTCACTTGTCCACTCTAGAGTGTGAGTCATGTCAGCTCGATAAGCATACCCGCTCCCATATCCCGCGGCGTCTTGATAATCGAGCAGTCACCTTTTACTTTAGTCCATTCAGATGTTTGGGGTCCTAGTCGGGTGAATTCTACCTTGGAATTCCGCTACTTTGTCAGTTTCATTGATGATTATTCCAGGTGCACTTGGATATTTTTGATGAAAAATCAATCTGAGTTGTTTTCTATTTTCCAGACCTTCCACGCTAAAATTCAAAATCAATTTGGGGTTTCTATCCGCACATTTCGTAGTGATAATACCCTAGAGTATTTGTCTTCCCCATTTCAGCAGTTTATGAACTCCCATGGGATTATTCATCAAACATCTTGTCCGTACACATCCCAACAAAATGGGGTAGCTGAAAGAAAGAATAGAAATCTTATTCTCGTACCCTACTCATACAATCTCATGTTCCGCTGCGTTTTGGGAGGGATGCAGTTCTTACACCTTGCTATCTTATTAATCGTATGCCATCTTCAGCTATCCAGAATCAAGTTCCATTCTCTGTCTTGTTTCCCCACTTACCTCCCTTCCACTCCGTGTCTTTGGGAGTACGTGTTTTATTCATGACCTTACTCCAGGAAACGATAAGTTAGCTCCTCGTGCTCTTAAGTGCATATTTCTGGGTTACTGGAGAACGCAAAAGGGATATCGATGTTATTCTCCTGACCTCCAGCGGTTTCTTATGTCTTCTGATGTTACCTTCTTTGGAACCCAATCATATTTCACAGGTCCAGTTAATCACTTAGATATTTCTGAGGTGCTACCAGTTCCGTCTTTTGGACATTCAGTCACTATCTCCCATTCATCTTCCTCCATAGCTCCAGTTGCAGCTCCACCACCTCCAGCTCCAGTTGCAGCTCCACCACCTATAGCTCCAGTGCCACCACCGAGTCCAATGCCACCACCGAGTCCAGTTCCACCAACTATAGCTCCAGCGCCACCACCTAGTCCAGTTCAACCTTCTAGAGCTCCGCCACTCCTGACTTATCATCGTCGTCCGCACCTAGCATCAGGCCCAGCTGATTCACATCCCGCACCTGACCTTGCTAATACTGCAGACTTGTCTCCTCTTAATCAACCGATTGCACTACGAAAAGGTATACGGTCCACACTTAATCCTAATCCCCATTATGTCGGTTTAAGTTACCATCGTCTGTCATCATCCCATTGTGCATTTGTGTCATCTTTGTCCTTTGTTTCCATCCCTAAGTCTACAGGTGAAGCACTGTCTCATCCCGGTTGGCGACAGGCTATGATTGACGAGATGTCTGCTTTATATATGAGTGGTACTTGGGAACTTGTTCCTCTTCCTTCGGGTAAATCGACTGTTGGTTGTCGTTGGATGTATGCAGTCAAAGTTGGTCCAGATGGCCAGGTTGATCGACTCAAGGCCCGTCTTGTTGCCAAAGGGTATACTCGGATATTTGGACTCGATTACAGTGATACTTTCTCTCCCGTGGCTAAAATAGCATCAGTCCGCCTTTTTCTATCCATGACTGTTGTTCGCCATTGGCCTCTCTATCAGTTGGACATTAAGAATGTTTTTCTTCACGGTGACCTTGAGGATGAGGTTTATATAGAGCAACCACCTGGTTTTGTTGCTCAGGGGGAGTCTAGTGGCCTTGTATGTCGGTTGCGCCGGTCCCTCTATGGTCTAAAGCAGTCTCCTCGAGCCTGGTTTGGTAAGTTCAGCACAGTTATTCAGGAGTTTGGCATGACTCGTAGTGAAGCTGATCACTCGAAATCTGGTCGTTTATGTTGACGATATTGTTATTACCAGCAATGATCAAGATGGTATTATTAAGTTGAAGCAACATCTCTTTCAGCACTTTCAGACTAAGGACCTGGGCAGCAACAACAACAACAACAACCCAGTATAATCCCACTAGTGGGGTCTGGGGAGGGTAGTGTGTACACAGACCTTACCCCTACCCTAGGGTAGAGAGACTGTTTCCGATAGACCTTCGGCTCCCTCCCTCCAAGAACTCCCCACCTTGCTCTTGGAGTGACTCGAACTCACAACCTCTTGGTTGGAAGTGGAGGGTGCTCACCACTAGAGCAACCCACTCTTGTCGACTAAGGATCTGGGCAGATTAAAGTATTTTCTTGGTATTGAAGTCGCTAGGTTTAGCTCAGGTATTGTGATCTCACAACGGAAGTATGCCTTAGATATTCTTGAGGAGACAGGAATGACAGGTTGTAGACCTGTTGACACTCCGATGGATCTGAATTCTAAACTTCGCGATCCTGCAAGATATAGGCGGTTAGTTGGTAAATTAAATTACCTCACAGTGACTAGACCTGAATTTCCTTTCCTGTGAGTGTTGTGAGTCAGTTTATGGATTCTCCTTGACTAATGTGATAGTCATTGGGATGCAGTTGTCCGCATTCTTCGGTATATAAAATCAACTCCAGGCAAAGGCTTATTGTTTGAGGATCGAGGCCATGAGCAGATCGTTGGATACTCAGATGCTGATTGGGTAGGATCACTTTTGATAGACGTTCTACGTCTGGATATTGTGTCTTAGTAGGAGGAAATTTGGTGTCTTGTAAGAGCAAGAAACAGAATGTGGTTGCTCGGTCTAGTGCAGAAGCAGAATATCGAGCAATGGCTATGGCGACATGTGAGTTAATTTGGATCAAACAGTTGCTCAAGAAGTTGAAATTTGGTGAGATTAGTCAAATGGGACTTGTGTGTGATAATCAAGCTGCTCTTCATATTGCATCAAATCCAGTGTTCCATGAGAGAACTAAACACATTGAGATTGATGTCCCTTTGTTAGAGAAAAAATACTCTCGGGAGATATTACTACAAAGTTTGTAAAGTCGAATGATCAACTTGCAGATATTTTCACCAAGTCCCCAACTGATCCTCGTATTAACTACGTATGTAACAAGCTCGGTACATATGATTTATATGCACCAGCTTGAGGGGGAGTGTTAGAATAGTTATGTGAATGTATGTAATTAGTCCTAGTCCCTTACGTAATAGGAGTAGGTTATGGGTTATGTACACATGTAAATAGGGTTTATTGTAAACATAGAATATTAATCAATAATATTTTCTCCCGTGCTTTCTCAGTTGACAATCAGAAGTAATCGCAGCACAGAATAGGAGTCTAATCAAAGACAAACTGAAGTCAATAACTAAAATAAGCCAAGTATCAAATTTGAATGCAGGGGGAACAACAATTGAGCTGCAACGATACACAACATGAACATTTTGTTTAGGTGTCGAAAGTTAGGTTTATTTGTAATTCTTATACAGAGAAGATGAAAAGAAGGTATATGAGAAAGTTTAGTTTAGGTCATAATAGAAAAGCCATATAATCTGATGTAGAAAAACCTTTCTCTACGATGTCCACAGGCAATGCATTTAATC